CTGCTCGTCCGGCTCTCTTCTCACACCTAGCATACTCAAATGACAAATCCAAGTAAAGGCTGGCCACAAGAGAGAAAGATGGTCGACCTCTTTCCCTGTAATTGGAGATGACGCAGACCCCATCGAGAGGTTGTTTCCGGCTACATACACTCTGTCGTGCTTACTGTATATGATAGCTTGACCTTCGAAAGCCAAGCCACTGTGCGCTAGTTTGTACTGAAGCAGACTTATGAAGCATCAACACCGCCTCACCATACTCCCAACACACATACTACCCACAGGCCGCACGAAAAATGCGGAAGTCTCGGCGCAACACTTGGTCCCCGGGGAACTTGAAGTAAAATTATCCGGACACGACCCTTCGCGTTCGGTCCTGAAATTCCCCATGAGTCCCAATGCCCTTGCTAATTAGGAAACGCCTGGACCCTTACTGTGTTTACAGACCTGCGATCGGGACCGACATACCAATCGATTTCGGGTGTATGTGCTGCATGGCAACAGCACCGCCGCCTACCGGGCTCTGGACCTCAGACACTGTCCAAATGCCACGCGATAACTTCCACCAGCTAAACCATGTTAACAAAAATTAGGATGAATTACGGTGCAAAGTCCTAATTGCTTCGACCGGCACCTAGCGAACCGGGGGAAGGGGTGAACACAGTATGGACACAGCACTTGACACATTTTGTGCCATATGTTGCAGCTTTCCGCCTTAAGTGTCTGAGAGTCCTCTACTCTGTCGGAGAAATAAAATGACGGATGGAAGGTTTTACCGAAGCCAGTGCAGGGCTGCGTAATCGTCCTCTGCAAGTTACTTCCTCAGTTTCCCGACTTGACTTAGTTTCCGGCAGTAAAGTCTTCTTTGCTTTTTCGGAGGCACTAATCCGGCCGGCCCGGCCTTGCAAATTTACTGCCTGAATCTGTTGGCACGTAAACCCAGCAGGCGACGGCCCGAGCTCAACTCTCAACACGTTCATTGGCATCTGCAGATGGGTCCCTCCACGTCGTCCCCAGCCAGGATCGAGTCCCGTTTAATGCGACAGGATTTACCGATGTGTGGAGACGTCATAAAAAGTTGAAAACTCAAGTCAGAATGCCCCGAACCAGTCATTTTGTAAATTTGAACAACACGGGGGCCTTGGGTATGGGAGAAGGTCAGAGAAAAAGCCTAAACAGTCTCTGTTCTAACAGGACTGACAAAGTAACAAATGTCGTAAAATAGGTGGGATGGTTTGCCGCCGTACACGCCCTGTTGGACACGGACGTGTAGACAGTGCAGGACTACAGTTCACAGGGGATAGACGTCCACTTCAAGCGGAGCTAAGTTGCAGCGGGCTGAGCTCGAGTCATCCTGGCCTGAAAGGTAACAATGAGATGAAAGAAATTTTTGGGACCTCTTTCGATTATAAAACTTAATGCGATATCCTGAACTGAGGCTGAAGAAACGGACGACATGCATTAGGATGGATTTTTTAATGTAGACGCAAAAGACCGATGGAGATGCAATTATCCAATGTCGCAGTTAATCGGCTGTTCGTATGCCAACACAAGAAGTATAACCGGTTTCCCAACTTGCGGTCCACAAGACTAATAGTTAAATTATACCTTAAAGGTTGGGGCTTCGGTAGTTTCAACTGGTCTAGCCACAGTCACCTTTTACAAAGTGTCGACGTTATAAAAGTGCTATTCTATGAACCAAGTTGTTGGGCTTAAACACACTGGATTTATCAGACAGTGCGAAAGGGAGAACGATCATGGCAGTACAAAAGGCGTGGACAGGCTACTCACCGCACGGAAATTCGCCACACAGCTAACGAATTCGTTCACCTCTTTAGCACAGTTCAATGATTGCTTCCCATTGGCCTTGTAGCAGTCGGCGACTTGCTTCTGTGCAGCCAAACAACAGGCCTCGGAGGAACCTTTTCTGTGGAGGAAAAAAGTCGAGGAAGGGGTGTAGAATTCTACATGAACCAAATGAGTCAAAATGGCACAGAAGCAACAAGCGTTGCATTGAAGTGGGTCTTGCTGACCGATCCCGATTTTGGACTGCGCCCAACACTTGCTTTAAAAAAAATATTTGTGGATTCGAAAAGAATCAGGCGCAGTTTAAATTTCGGAAAGAACGAGGTGCAAATTTTTTAGTGAAAAACTTACAGGTACTTGGCTTCAAGACGATCGACAACCCGAATAAATTCAGCCTCAGCCTCTTTGAGAAATGAGTCATCCTGAAAGAGTCAAACATATTATACAAAAACTTCGACGGGTTTCTTCTGCCTAAGGAATCTAAATTTGCCTAGCTCGGATGATGAAAGGTACAGTTTAGAAAGTAACAGTAACAGCAAGATGACAGGATTTATTCTAACCAAAGTTAGTATGACTGATTGACGGTTATTATCGCATATTAGGGTACATATGCATATGAGCGATACTCAGCCGTAAAGCTGAGGAGACCTACTCTTTTTTCTATCTTCTTGAGACGGGCTTCAAATCTCCGCTCGATGTCATCCAAAGAGTGAGAAAGTCTGAGGGAAGAGGATGGGTCCTGAGCAGGCTGAGGGGTTGGTTCTACAAGCGTAAGTAAGAGTATAAAGAGATATACCAGGAATTGGGGGCGCCGGAGTAGTCACCGCTTTCGAAACGACAGGAGTGGTGCTGTCTTGGTGACGCATCATTCTCTGTAGGACATCATCGGAGACCTAAAGGACGGTGCTCTAACGATTCATGTGGTAACAAACCAGTATATCTGAGCGGGTAAAGTGAACATCATGTGCTGGTTGAGTTCCAAAAACGGAGCCCATTCTGCCTGCAGGAGAAAAGATAGGAATTAGAATGAGAACTCCAAACACGCAGCTACATCTCCATCTCTATGCGTTTTTCCCCTGCCCTACTTGGACTTTAGGAACTTGAATAAGTGATTGTAACTTGCTCGGTCACCTACCCTACCGTGGGCGGCCCATACAACTTTACCCGACAGATAGTGTAGAGAGAAAAAGGTCGCCGCATCGGTCAATCTGCCCCTCAATGTTGCGGAGACCAGCGTTTTCAAGCTGCGACTCTGGCTATAAAAACGAATCCTCGAAATTAGTAACTGCCGACTAAAAGAAACTGACAGCACCAAACATTTTGGGACGAAGTTCTTGACAAACTGGAGGAGCAAGGATGGCGTAGTCGCCCGAATTAAATATAATCATGGGTTTTTGGGTATCAACGGGTCCGCCATGATGTCATCACGGCTGCAAAGATCCGCGTACACTGGCATCTATTCGTTTCGTTACTTTGTACGGTTACTAATTTGAGCTACACACGTAAACGTGCGAAAAAATGGAGGTGTCTGACCCTAGTTGCCCGCGAACCATCTTCGAGCGAAGTACACCGACTTTGTCACATCCGAGACAGTCCACAATAATTGCGGCTGCACTGAAAAGTTATGTAATAATGGTTATCAAAGACAACTATGGTGGTTCGTGCGGCGTTTCGTCACCCACACCCTGAGTTAACTGCCGTTTTTCGCCCTTATCCGATTCCGCTGCCCAGCCGCAGGTGGCGAAGAGCTGTCGACCTAAATTCTGGCCGGATGTAGTCCGTTAAAACGCGGAGGCGATTATTTGACACTCAGTAATTGATCTTTGTCGAGTTCATGATTCACTATAACAGATCTTCGTGTGCGGACAAGGACTACCGGCGGCATAATCGGAGTCAGCCAGATCAGGCATGATCACAGGTGTTTCAAGCAGAAGTGAGTGATAAAAACATGTACGTTCACCAATCGATACTCAGGGGTAAGCCCCCATGATACAAACCTGCCGAAAAGTAGGAATAAGTGGAACTTCGAAAAAGTGGGGAACGCAAAAATCTCCTAGCAAGTAAGCACAGCACACGCCCCGATCCAGGTCAGAATCTCTTTGTCTAGCTGTTTCAAAATGCAACTGACGGTGTTCTAATGGTTGGTGGGAATTCTAGCCACCCTACATCCACAATGCATCGGAGGATGAGGAGATTCTAGTCAATGACGGTGTTCGAAAGATCGTAAATGGTTACGTCTGGAAATCCAAACAGACGGACAACATACCATGATACTGCATAGGGTCGGTCAGCGTGGCCACTAAACCACATGTCCTGCCGACATTAGGCGAGCCTATACCGAATGATTGTGGAGCAACACTCTCAAGTTAGAGTAGCTTTTTGCGTACGGCATACGCTTATGCAAATTTGCAGCAGATAAGATTTAATCAACCTCTGAAGTTGGGTATAATCGCTCCGTGGCAGGTGTCGAATTTTATGGGGCTGCGTAGGAACATATTCAGACAGACATCATGAGAACGTCTCAGGTGCAGCACGCTTGTTCCCGACACCGAGGCGTCGCTCCAGAAAAAAGCCAAAAAATTTCGCTAACGCCTTATAAGTGGACGCCGAAGATGGCACGCATAGTATACTGTGCGCCAGCAACGTTAGGAAAAAAGCAAGAGAATTCCGGACTTGAGCTATAACTCTAGAGCGTTGTCGTAAGCAAACGGCGGTGAGAAATCACAGTGAATAACCAAAGTTCACATAAAAAGCTTACGTTGGAAACGGACAATCCATTTGGAGCAAAGTTATAAGGCATACTATGAGACATGACTGGCAATTTGGGGACACTAGAAGATGGGCGCGCGCAAGTCTATAAGGATTAGACCAACCGGGTGGGAACAAGATCACAGAAGAGTGTGGGAAAAAAGGCAAAGACTGATAGAACGTAAAGAAAATCCGAGAATAAGAGTCAAAAATATCTCGACGGTACCAAAAGGAACGAACAGCACACCTGGGCAAAGGGGCTCTAAGACCAACTGTCGCAGGGTTAAAGTTCGCGGATTCAAGGCGTTTAGTAGTCAGATATGCTAGTATTCCGGATATCGGGACCTAGCTATTTTCCCTTTGTAACAGACGGTTATCCTAAGGCGCGTTTTTCTTTGACTCTCTTTTCTGTATCCGACACCACGTGACTCGACGGACGCTCCTTTTTCGTCATGTCCTTTAAGTCCTGTATTTCGTTTACCTCTTTTCTATTCATTGGTTTCGTTAATTTGTATCTCCTTTTGTACGCTTTTTCATTCGCCGTATTGAGTTTTAATTTTATTATCTACTCGTTCTTTTCTGTCTGTTAACGATCATGGCTATCAGCGCGTTTCCTACTTTTGTTTCGCGACTTTTCAAAACGTTTTACCGTCTTTCGTACGTTTGAGAATAGGCATTTTTGATTATTGATATACCTTGGTTTACTATGTCTGAGGGCCACAGATCCCCAACTGACTTGTACCACGTACTAACCCGTCTTTAAGACGATGTCCCGTTGACAACTCCGCAGAGAGATCCTCGTCTGGTTTTCCCGACACTACGTGAAGGCAGGCCTCATCCTACATTACCCCGTTCGTCACTTTCACTTTTACTCATATACTGCCTACCTTCGAGGACGTTCACTGCTTTTCGGAAATCTAAAAATTAAAAGTTTTGAGGAGGGCCGGCATTAAATACAAGGCGAAACATGTTATTCCACCGAAATGACCATGGGTGATTTTGCACCGTTCGAAGTCCGCAGCCACAGAAAGCCCCAATAAAACCCGGGGTGAGTGTTGGGTGGGAAACGAAAGGTGTGTATGATAGTTCCGAGACTTGCGGACAGGTTTACACTTTTCTGTTCAGAGGCTGTATTAATCAGAAAAGTCAGATTATGTATCAGACTTTTCGGCAAAATCTGATGTCGACTTAGGGATGTGCTTCCGGCAGCGCAATAAAATTAGTAACATCAAAAACCTTAGAAAACGCGAAGTAAGACAACCCCGAGCGGTATATTTAAATGAAGCGACAGTATATGGCGAACGAGGGGTAGTTAGGAAACGAACTGGTTCAAAATTGGTTATTTTGTGACGTCTATGCAAATGATCGTTTGATATTTGCGCGTGACCACGTCCAAAGTGTGCCCTACGCGACGGGCGCAACATTGGCGGCTAAAAACGATACGAAGCCCGTCGACACATGTCCTACGCAATCTGGTCCGCGCACGACAGACTAGACTTTCAGCGAAACAATGAGGAGGGTCAGCTCATATCTGAATGGGAGTATCACAGAGCTTGCTTTCAGAAGGGGCACTACCGTATGCCTTGCGATCCTGAGGTAACCGAGTAATTCCATCAGTTGACGGCCTTACATGCTATGACATTTTGCGTGGAGTTACAGATTCAGAGCTCATTAACTTTTTTTTAGTGAAGAATGCGCCGAACCGCCATGAGGACGACGACTCCGGAATCAACCCCAACCCGTCTCCCCTTCCCACATAATAGTCCGAACCGGTTAACTACCTGATGCGAGGACTGGACTCAAGTAGCTGACGTGAGACATGCGCCTAGTCTCTCCACCACGCCTTTTGTGAGCCATTTTTTATGCGATGCGCGGATTCTTCGAAGGCCCGTCAACGCCTGCTCTCGTCTTGGTTCAGCACATTTTCGCATAGTCCATCATGGTGTTGCAAAACCTAGCACACACGACCGTTCGGGCAACACTTTCGACGGTGCCCACCGTGTGCTCCACAGCGTGCAGGGTTCGAGGACGGTGATTAACGAGTGAATTTTCGAAAGTTACAGTAGCTTTTCGATGTATCTACCGCTTCCCCTCTTCTCATATCCCCTTGTGTTCAATGTCAAACGTGAGTTAATTAGACTGGAAGCGAGGTCGGGGCACTGACTGACAAAACTAACAACCGATTGACGCGTGCTACACATGTCTTGTTCACACCCGATTATCCAGGAGTTTCAACCAACAAGAAGTCGGTGGCTCGAATATTAACTGAAGGGAAGAGTCATAAAGGCCACATTTAGAGACGGTCACTGCAGGTTAAATTTCCGTCCTGCAAAGAGGGTAGAGTTGCCCCGTCGATCAGGGGTGTCCAAACCACAGTTTTTGGCGCACTGACTAGATGCAAGTGCGTCATATTGCTTATATCCGTGAATAGGCGTCAAGAGTCGATCTCTCTCTTTTCCCTCTCCCAAACTGGTCAGTCAACAGATAGAAGGATTGGGTGCAATGGCTGACAGGTGTTCGCAACCAAGGATTGTTCTTTTAGGATCTCGCATGGTGAGAGAGCCACAGATGCCACACGAAAAGAGGGAGGCGAAGATCATGCTTCCCACTTAGGTGGGGGAGCTTGTTTCGTACCTGTGGTGGGTAATCTGGGAAGGGCTCGTGCGTGGTACATGTGGTCAAGGGTTTCGTCTGCGATGATTTTCTCCAGATTAGTAAGCAAGTACAGGGCATTGAATTGGCACTTGAGATGACGCAAATGCGTGGGCAGTACGGGTACTTGAGGCAAGTACGGCGAGTGTCTGTAAGGACTTCTGGCCTGATTCGTCAATGACAGCGAGATGAGTTCGCAAATTACCGACCAGGTCCATTCGTACTGTGAATGTTCGATTACAAAAAGAAGAGTTCTGGATAGAGTCCGCATTGTTGATTGTGAGTGTGTTTGTGGCGGCGGCAGTGATGGTTGTCGGGGCATCGGGAGTATTTAAGGCGGTGGTGGTAGTTGCCGTCGGGAGGTTTTGAGGCTGGGGTAATGGGAAAGCGATGACTGACGGCGGCGGGGAAGCGGAGGTTTTGTCAATAGTGATCGTGGAGGTCGTCTCCTTCGTGTGGGTCGTTGCAGGGGCTTCTATGGCACTCCCACCTAGTTTGATCCTAGCTTGGTATGGCTGCACACCTAAGGGTGTCTTCGGACGCGCCATCCGTCACTCTTGTTGTTGATGGTTGATATTCCGGTTAAGTATATGTTGTGAACCAGGGGTGTGGCAACTCGCCTTGGTACGGGTCTGGCTGAGCCTAAAACCTGCGCCCTCTGCCGCACTCGGCTCACTTCGCTATGTCTTAACGTAGGACCCATGTGGGAAACGAGAGAGTCCGGTAGATAAAGCGAAAGTCTAGTATCACTATAAAAGGAATCAGGCGCATGTCACCATGCCTGCCCCAACCCTATCGTTGAGCACACGGTGGATATCGTCGGTCACGAAGGTCGAACTGCCGTGTATGTATGTATGTCGCCTACCAGGTAAGTTGAATAATGTTCTCTTGAATTTGCCAGCCCATCGCTTACACTCCAGCAATCAAATGACTCAGCGCCCAGAGGACTTGCAGGCTCCAGTTGAAAACGTTCCCCTGGAGACTTGATGGTACCGACTGCGGGACGCTGTACACCCAACCGTCCTGGGTGTCCCCGGTCACGCGCATCTTCAGCATCGAGAGTGGTTCAACGACAAAGCCGCCGACCTGCAACTCTGAAAAGAACAGACTAAGCAAAATCTACGATAATCGCCAGTCCGACACAATAAAGCGAAATTCCATCGATGTTTCCGCCTTGTGCAGCAGCGATTGCGCGAAATGCAGGTTGCCTGGATGACTCGCAAGACCGAAGAAACTGATGGGTATGCCGATCGGAATGAAGCAAAGAACTTCTTCGCTGCGAACGAGGCGATCTACGGCCTTCCAATAAAGGGAGTGTGCCGCTCCTCAGCAACGATGTATCAACGTTTCTGGTGAAGAAGTCGCATATTCTGAAGCGCTGGTTCGAGTAATTCAGAAACGTTCTCAACCAGCCCTCTGCTCTCTCCGACGCTACCATTGACTGGCTCTCTCAAACGGAAATCAACATCGATCTTGATTTGTCGCCTTCTCTCCCAAAAAATCCGCGCCGTGCCCCATCTGTCCGACGGGAAAGAACAGGGGTCCGACAAGATTCTGGCAGAGGTTTACAATCGCGGCTCATCGATCAAATCATAACGCTCTTTCAGGAGATGTGGGGATAGAAACAAGTTTATCAGAATTTAAAGGGTGCTACAATCATCCATCTCTACAAACGCAGAGGGAGCTGGCAACTTTGTAATAACCACATAGGCATTTCGCTACTCAGAATAGCTGGGAAGATCTTCGTCCGCCTTCTCCTAACTCATCTCAACGGCAACCTCTAGTAAGGACCACTACCTGAAAGCACTGTGGCTTCCAGCTACACCGCGGGATCACCGACATGGTCTTTACCGTTCGCCAGTTACAGCAGAAGTGTCAGAAGGTACGGATTCAAATGTACACTACCTTCAAGGATTTGGCGAAGGCCTTTGATACGATTAATCCCAAGAACCTACGGATAACCATCCAATAATTCGGCTGTCCTGAGAACTTCACGCACGTGGAACGTAAGTTCCACGGCGGTATGATGATGCAAGTAACGGAAAACGGGGCAGTATCCGAGGCACTCGAAGAAATCGGTGGAGTGAAGCAGGACTGCATACTTCCACCACCCTCTTCAATGTCATGTTCTTTGCCGTGCTGATGGATGTCTACCTCGATCCTAGTACATGCATCGTCCACAGAATTGACGGACATATTCTCAAAAAACAGGCGCCTGCAGATCCCCAACGCGAATGTTTACGACCACGATTCAAGTTCTGCCCTTCGCTGACGATTGCGCACTCAGCACTAAGGCCGAAGAAGGCATGCAATATAGCATGGATCTTTTCGCCGGCGGGTGCGCTTACTCCGGATTGACCATAAATAAGAATAGAACGGTGGTCATGCCTGAAACGCTGCCGAACGCTGAATACAGCTCCCCTCGAATCACTGTCAAAGGCAACTAACTACAAACCGCGAACAAATTCGCCTATCTAGGGAGCACACTCTTGCTCAGCACAAACATCGACGAGTTTTCCCGTCGGACCTTCAAAGCCAGCCAGACCTTCGGCCGTCTGCAAGCTTCCATATGGAATCGCCACGGCCATCAACTGAACACCAAATTGAAGATGCAAAAGATCGTCGTCTTGACGACACTTCTGTACGGAGCGAAGACCTGGGCCGTCTACGCAAGCCGTTTCAGAAAGCTCAACCACTCTCATCTCAGCTGCCTCCGCAAATCACTGAATCTGAGATGGCAGGACAGGATCTCCGAACGAAAGTCTAGGAACGGGCCGGAATCCTCAGCATCGATGCCACGCTGAAGCAAATGCAACTTCTATGGGACGATCATCTGGTGAATATGGACGATGCTCGCCTACTAAAACAACTCTTTTACGGGTGCTCGCCTACCAGGAGAACCTAGACAACACAGCAATGGCACTCTGAAGAATCCCCTGAAGTGAATGCATATCAGCACAAAGACCTGGGAGGATCTCGCACAGAACCGACCGGCATGGAGAAGAGAACTGAAGGTTGGCGCGCCATGTATGAAGCAAATAGACTCGTCGTTGTTAAAGCCAAAGTGGAGGCCCGCACGACTCAGACGCCTCCGATTTGCAAAATCGCCACTCAACCCACCCGACGGCTCTCTCTGTCGACGAACATTCCGCGCGCTGATCTGCCTCGTCGGTCTCCCCCGGATCCCATTCACCAACCACCCATTGACCGTAAATGCTGCCTCCGCGACCTCGCCCGCTCCTGTCTCACCAAATTTGCTTGAATCCCCATGCCGCACTGCCGTCTACCATAAACACCTCCATTATCTCCAACGAATAAAACCACCTCTACCACTCCTGCCACGGTCCATGACGCTCGTGACGCGTCGAAAACCACCAACAAATGCACTATCACCACCCCTCTCCTCCAACAATTTCGAATGAGTCCTAAACTGCCCTCATTATCACCGCAACTCCACCTCGCACATCGATCTGATCGACCACTTACGAATCAAACTCACAGCGGCTGGCGAACCGACAGTTCGACCGTCGCAACCGACGATGTCCACCGTGTGCTCGACAGAAAGGTCGAGCAGGCAAAGTGACTTGGGCACGATTAAGCGTAGAGTGAGTGTGGAATTCCAAAGCATCTACCGCACTCCACACGCACTGCCCCATAACAAACACTTGACCAGGATTTTAGCCAAAAACAACACTAAGGCGAGTCAGAAGGACGACAAGAATGCAAGGCAGCCATGTCCATGACCTATATAGCTTGCAGAAACGCAAGCGAATCTACCGGCAGGGAACTGTTAGTGCATGGTAGACTGCGAGGTCTATGGTTCGCTGAATCAAGACGTAGCAGACGCATACACGCCTTAAGACCCAGAAGGGTGAATTATGGCCCTACGTTTGCCTGAACACTCACATTTCAAAGGCCAGGTCACCAAATAATCATCGACTGAGAGGGATTACCCATAAAGCACACACACACTCATCACATGCATGAAAGTATCACAGATCACTTAATAAGGAGCCGATTCAGCCTGAATCTCAGCCCACCAGTCCGCCGCTCCACATGTACATTAGCAGCTGGGCAGACTGCTTGGACTGATTTTAGGCGTCAGTCGGTAGCCTACCAAGCCACAGCACTTGTTGCACCGTGACAGTCTCAGTCTCGGGCCACGCATGGGGCAGAGAAGCATTCGATCCGAAGATGTCCAGTAAGACCGACTGGTGCCCAGTACGTCGGCTGATGTCGCCAGCATGACGGGGGCGGCTGTATGTCGACGTTACGAGGTGGGGCAGTTGAGATTTACGAGCTCCGGGATTGGCTTTGACGACGGCGACGAGGTTGGCTTCGTAGATCGTTGCATCTGTCTTCATTATCCTCATTTAGGCCTGTCGGTTCGGGGCGAGGTCTTCCCAGATGGTCGGTTTCATATGTAGGCTCATCAAAGAAGTCCTCAGAAAATCCATTTAGCGCCGGAGTTGACCACATTGTCGACGAGGACACGTAGCGACATCCCCATAGAAGACTCGTGTAGGCAGCCGCTCGCCGTCCATCCAAACGAGGTGGCCGATCCAGCGCAATTGCAGGTATCTGTGGATACACGCGACTGAAAGTGCATCGGCCGCTGATTAAAGAGTTGACCATCCGTCCTCTAGGCGATGCGGATACTGCAACGTCTGTCACGTTAGGCGTCCACTAGCATGGCAGAGAACATGGGACTGAAGAGGGTGGGCGCGAAGAAACAGCCCTACTTCACTCCGTTGGTCACTGCACATGCCACTGAGACGGCTCCATTGCCCGTGACGCGCACCACCATGCGGTCTTGAGGTGATGCACCATCTAAGTGAATCGTTCGGGACAGCCGAATTTCTTTATGATTTCCCATAGTCCTCTGCCGTTCACATTGTCAAAGGCTTTCGTCTGACCCACGGAGGTAGAGTAGAGATGTATTCGCATCTCCGGGCACTTCTTCTGTGGTTTGGTTGGCGGCGAAGATCATGTTGACGGTTCCACAATGACGACGGAAGCCGCCTAGGCTTTCCGGCAGGAGTCCTTGTTCTAACTGGTTAAGGAGGATGCGAGTGAAGACTTTTCCGGCGAGATTGAGCAACGAGATTCTTTTGTGGTTGTTGCAGATTTCACAACTCCCCTTCCGCATGTAGAGATATACGATTGTGGCGTCCTTGAAATTCTGAGGGAATTGTCTTTGCCTCCACATATCCTGGCAGAGCGTTGTCAGATGATCTATTAGTTGGGGGCGCTGTGCTTGTAGATCTCACCAGGGATCGAGTCTGGTCAGGGGGAATTCCCACTGGAGAGTTACTGCACGGCCCTGATGTTTTTCTGAAGAGAGGGTGTGAGGTTGAGGTCGGCGCTGGTCTCTAATTGAGACAGAAAAGCGATGGCGGCGTCGGAGGTGGTAGAGGGACGGTTGAGGACGCCTCTGAAATGCTCGGACCAACGCTTTATGATTTTCGTCTTCTCAGAGAGTGAGGTGGTTTTGACGGCGTTGATAAGAGTAGCGGTTCCTTTGGCTGTTGGACCGTAGACAGCCGTGACCGCAGCGAAGAAGTTCTTCCATTCGTTGCGGTCCGCGTACCCTTGGGTCACCTCGGCCTTGCGAGCTATCCAAACATCCTGTACTTCTCGTAACCGTTGCTGCGCAGGCAACGGCTTCGGCTGAAGGCTGCTTCGTTCGCGTCGGTAGGGCGGTTAGCGTAGGTTTCGCGGTGATTCAAGTTGTCTCAGAGGCATTCGCAGTGACCAACGGAATGGCACAGGACTGCGTCCTCGCGCCCACCCTAACGTGACAAGCACTCCAGTATCCGCATCGCCTAGAGGACGGATGGTCAACTCTTTAATCAGCTGCCGATGCACTTTCAGTTGCGTGTATCCACGACTATCGTCCACGAACGTTTTTTTGCCGACGACTGCGCCCTCAACGCAACTACCGAAGAGGACATGCAAGGGGAGCATGGACCTCTTCGCTGTCACATGCGACAACTTCGGCCTTATCATCATCATCAACAAGAAGAAGAAGACGGTGTTTATGCATTAACCGCCATCCGACGCTGCCTACAACGCACCCCAAGTCAACATGTATGGCGGCCAACTGCATGCTGTGGATAGCTTCACCTATCTGGGTGGCACCCATTCTCGCAGAACCAAAATCTACGATGAAGTGACCACCGGATTTCTCAGGCCAGCCAAGCCTTCGGCTGTTTCCAATACACCGTCTGGAATCGTCACGGTCCCCAACTCGGCACCAAACTCAAGATGTATAGAGCAATCATCCGGTGGACGCTGCTATATAGAGCGGAGACTTGGATGGTGCGCAAGAAGCAGGCGCAAAGGCTCAACTACATCCTCCTCAGCTCTCTCCGACGAATACTAAAGTTGAGGTGGCAAGACTGGATCCCGGACACGAAGATGCTGGAACGGACGGGGATCCTCAGCATCTACGCCACGCCGAGGCATCTGGCCATTTACCACCCGTAAAGTAACACGTTTCTAAATCAGGAATTAAGTGGACAGCTTTCGTCAGTCCAGATTGTCGATGCGGTTGCTAGCGCAGTCTTGATTGGCCAGTTTCTGGCGTTGGTCGAATATGCCTGAAGTCCGCACTATCGGTCGACCATCCATTGCGTGGCCTTGAACTCTGGCAGCCGCCAACGCAGGTGACCAGGGAGGTTGGGGCTGGCTCTTTGCTGCCACCTGCTCGTCTTGGATAAGGTCTCCTTCAGACTGAGAAGGTATAGATTTGGCCGAAACAATCCTTTTTGGAAGCTAGAAGAGTACAGCGAATTCAACCCTTTTGACTTACGGCTGACTGACACGAGTAAGACAGTATCTCAAAGGAATGCGGGAAGCAGCGCATGATGAGGGGATCTTCTTATTATGTTGCCTGCGTGCTGCGATAACCTCCTCTGATGACCCAGTTTTACCTGAGGTTGGTCACAGCGACACCAAAGATAGAGGAAGACGGGTTATTCATTAGCCTAACTGCTGGCTATCCGGCGCGTCCACAGGTGGCGGATAGTGGGACGACCTTCAGTGAAGGTTAGCTGCGAAATAAGCAGAACCAGGTCCGATGAACAAGCAGTTGCGGAACAGCAGTGACACTGCTGCCAGAGCGCGGAGGGCACACACTGAAAGCCTTATAAGAAAACCACAAAGCCCGACGACGGCATTGTGACATGGCGACCGTGAGCCGCCATTAAATAAGTTTGCTTGTCACCGCTGCCCTGTGGTTAGGCTTTTAAGCCAAATCGCTAGAGAGGACAACCTCGAACAAACAATCCAAGTGGCTGTTGGGGGCCCGCTTGTATTCGAAATTCCAAAGAAACCTCATGAAATATGTCCGACTACAGTATCACGACCCATGCTACGGTGTCCGCGGGAACCGACGCGCTCCGCAAGCCTGATCCAGTGGTGCGGGTGAATAGTATGCGAGCTGTACTACTCAATCGAGGACGGACTCTTGGTATTGGATGCTGGAATGTGAGAACGTTTCTGGACCCTGGTACCCAAAGTCTGACCGCGCGCGGCCTTAATCAGTACAACGTGGATGTCTGCTGTCTTTCCGAAGTTCGACTTCCTGACTCGGGCTCTCGACAAATAAATATCCCTGGAGCCGACTCACACTTCACTCCGTGCCACAGCGGCTCGCGCGACTCTTCTGGTAGACACGGTGTGGCTATCGCCCTCTCGTAACAAGCGGACCTCGCGTTACTTGCTTGGGAACCAGTCAATGACCGGATGGTTTGCGTGCGACTAAAAGGTCATTTAACGAACATCTCCATCGTTTCTGTGTACCCTTTTGGAGGTGTCGAAGAGGGGTTAACTAAAAACCTGGCTCGACACAGTTCATCAAGACATGGAGGTGGTTAGTGGACCTTCGGTATTCGGTCTCCATCGTTGACGAAGAGAATAGGTTGGACCGTCCAGACCTGCTGCCGCGGATCGTCACGCGTGTGGAGGTACAGTCCGGGACATCATCGAGGCCGGCTAGATCAGGTATGATCGCAGCCGTACCAAGTACAAGTAGAAGTAATTACCAGAGATAGACGGCCAGCCGAGCGGCTGATTTATGTAATTCGAAGCCATGATACCGTAGTCACAAAATAAATCCTGAGATTTTTAGGCTTAAGAGAAGTCGACTCGCCTTGTGCAATGAGTACTTATAACATAGAACAAAAGCACCAATAGGAATTTTATGAAGCATTCACAACGAACAGAATGGGATGAGGTGTCAATGAATGCGCAGGACAGTCAAGTGAAAAGGCGGTAAGATGTGATTTGGTGGTCCCACCTGATGGACACAATACTGTTGGGGTTGGGGTTAAGGGTTAGGATTAGGGGTTATGTTTAGGGGTTAGAGGTAGGGGTTAGGGTTAAAGGTTAGGGTTAGGGGTTAGGGTTTATGATTAGGGGCTACAGTAAGGGGTTAGGGTTAGGGTTGGGGGGTAGCGCAACTATTTCTCAACCACTGAAAGTGCAACCACAGACTCCTAATAGCTTTTCTTTTGCCTCCAGCTACTTGACCTCGTCATCTGTGCGTTCCCCATCTCCACCTGTAAAAAAGCCTATTACCACCGGTCCCGTATTACAGGTGACTGGGGTTTGTTTACTTCTGATGGGGCTACATAACCACATCCGACCGAAAAGACGTCCCGCTAGTTTGACCCATTCAACATCCTGGCCTCAAATGGGATGAAGCTACCATAAGAGGGTGAATTTTCCTGTTTTGGACTTCAGAAGGAGACCAGCAAAAAAACAAACGCAAATTCCAACTTAAACCTTTCCAAACAGAACGACAGGGCATCTACTAAATTCGCTAAACTCTTTATCGATGCGGACAGATTGGTTCAGCCCCAACGGCACACTGGAGAATGTCAGCTAGCGTTCTTTTGATGGCGGAATTGGGGAAAAGTGGACCTCGGCGTGGGTAATTACTTGCGTAAGCATCAAGTATATTTGTTGGGATAAGACGCATGATCAAAAAGAAGGCCGTCTACGCTGCCGACCAGAGGAGATCTTTCAACTGCATTTACTCTAAGTTGGAAGATTGCCGCTGTTTCAACGATGACTTTTCCTGACAACATTTGTCAGTTGTGCCCTGTATTTTCGGTTTGCCGAAAGAATGATAACCTTACGAGGAAGTTGAAATCCTTACAAATCCCGGAATGCAAAGCCCATGAAATCGATCTGATGGACTAAAAGGGCCTCAGAGACTGTTTCAAAATGTAAGCCCTACGTGTTAAATAAAGAATTGCGCCTAGTTAGAGGGAACAAATTTTTGCTAGGCTTAAGTTTCAGTCACAAGGTCTCAGGCCAAGGTCATCGCGTCACAACATGAAAATCTGAGATAACCACACCGGTCTTTGAGTGAGCGGATTACCTAGGCCCCGCGGAATTTTACAACATTCAAGGTTTTCCTCAAACTTCCTTGTTCATCAAAATTATTGAATCATTCCAATTAAACCGGTCAAATGAACAGAAATGCCATCCAGTGGTAAGCCAGCAAAGGAGCATCTGGACTTTCCAGTTCTAATTTTTTTGCCTATTCGACGAAGCGATTCTGGGATTATCGTTAACAGACGACGTACATAAAAACTGCGACAAGACAACCCATAATCGGACTAAACTGCAACAATCTACGGCGTTATATGCCTCACGGAGGGCCAAAATTGCATCAAAGGATATATTGGTAGCACTTTTACTCCCCATATCAAGAAAAAAACTAAGAAAAGCAGTGCATTCGACTTTTTCGTTTCTGCATCGGCAAAGTGTAGGTCGGTTGTTCCAAAATTAAACGCCCAGTGCTTTCTCCTTGTAGACATTGCCTAATGTGTCTTTTTATTGTTCTACCTGCTGCTGAAGAGTTCTACGAACATTTCCTAAATGCTGCCATCTTTCGAGCCTTCAAAAGACAACTGCGCGACACAAAGGGTGACGCCTACATCTATGATGGAAAACGTCAAAACCCAAGCTACAACGAGGCGAGTGGGTTCCGTAACGTTATTCGTACGCGTCCCTCTACCATTGTTAATGTACCCGATCGCAACCGACAGGGCATCGAGCCCGTGGCTCGATGGTTAGGGCGTGGGACTTCTAACCAATAGGGTGCGAGTTCGAGCCGAGGGGCTTTATGCCTGGGGGGTCGGCCATGGCTGGCTAGTGACGACTAAGAGGCCAGAAACGGCCATTTCAGTCACTCTTGTCTCTCAAAGATCTTTTGGTATATTTTGAATAATTCCTATTGACCGAACTGTGAAAAACTCGGCGCCTCGGTGGGATTCGATCCCACGCAGTAAGGGGAAGGCTTTAGTACAGTCAACGCTCTAACCACTTGAGCTACGAGGCCCCGCCGGACGACGCGAATTTAATCACATTTGGATCAAGTTACCCGCCCAACCTACTGCAACGTCTGGAATCCACCAAATCTGATACAGTAAGTTGACTGTCCAAGCAGGATTTCCTAAGTAATTCACCTAGAATCCACCAGATGACTACCAGGCTCACGTAATTCATAGATGTTTTGGCAGCTTTTGAATAATTCATATTGACCCAACTGTGATTAATTTCGCGTCGTCCGGTGGGGTCTCGTTGCTCAAGTGGTTAGAGCGTTGGCTGTACTAAACTCTTCCCCTTACGGCGTGGGTTCGAATCCCAACGAGGCGCCGAGTTTTTCACAGTTGGGTCAATATGAATTATTTAAAATCTACCAAAACATCTTTGAAAGACAAGAGAGACTGGGGTGGCCGTTTCTGGCTTCTTAGTCGTCACTAGCCAGCCATTGCCGGCCCCCCAGGCATACAGCCATTCCAGTCTCTCTGGACTTTGTAGATAATGTCATTCTATCTATGGAATCCAAGTTGTAAGTAGTCAAATGTTATTTTTTGTGGAGGAGACAGAGACTCGATCGATGCGTCATCGGCCTTTCTCGCCTTCATTTTTGCCCCTATACTCAAGCACTGCGCCAGAAAGATCGGAACGGGGAGGCCGAGGAATGTCAGTATGTACCAAGTCGTGCTGCACTGCCGCTCATGCTCGCTGATTGGCAGGTAGTTCTGGCAGCAACGATAACCTCCCATCGTCCAGGCCGGATAGTCTTGACGCCTGAATGGCTGGTCGCCGCGCCTGCATCTTCACTATTGGTAATGGGTGAGCACACGGCCTGGCAACCGCCTTTATGGGCCTTCTTCTTACCTGCGCACAGCCTGCTTGCGTACTGTCATGACCCAGGCGCAGGCGGCCCCGGAGGAGGGGGTGGTCGGCCAAGCCACTATCGCGCTAACTGCGAACATCCGCGATGGCAGCTTGCTGATCGGTGATTGGAGTGTGGTCTGCGACCGTATCTCCCCCACTGATTATGGGCTCTAGAATGACTTCGAATGTGAGATTATGGAGCTCAGGTTCTAGAGTTAGTTTCCTGCTCTTTCACGCAAAACAGTCACTATTCTAGGCAACCGCTGAGGAGAAGGCGATGTGAAGGCTGAAACAGGACTTTTACACCTGGTAGGGGGCGTTCACCGATCGTTCTTACGGAACTCACTCGTTCCGTTGTGCCTTATGGACCCTCTCTCGAGCGCAACCAGCAGCCGCACAGCGGCGCATGATATAGGCATAATGATACTACCGACAAAGACAAGGGAGACTGGAATGGCCATTTCTGGCTTATTAGCCGTCGTCAGCCTCGGGTTTGCCACACTTCGGGGTTGGGTATGACTGGCTGACGACGGCTAATAAGCCAGAAATGGCCATTCCAGTCTCCCTTGTCTTTGTTGGTAATACCATTCTACTTTTACACCTCCCGACGTTTCGGATTCCCATTCGAACGCATCATTGCAGACTTGAGAAAGGAACTGGGATGTGGACGAGTAAGTAATCATCACAGCGAGTAAGACCATCGGCAATGAATGCGGGAATCGCTAATTGCGATGGCATGACAACTGCATCCCCTGTGCGTTCGTTACCGTTATCTGTGACTGCCTCTTGTGAAAATCCGAAACGCCAGGCGACGAAAATGTTTATTTCAGCGACGCATCTCCTTCTTTTCAATCACTGTTTTCCCCTGAAGATATTGCAAACAATAACGTATTAATTTGTTTTCGCGCAGCATTCGCTGGGGCTTTCATCAATCCAATGCAAATAGGACGATGACTAGAACATGTAATGATAACTCACGGGTCATTCTTCAAATTTTTCTTTGACTGAAACAGCACATTACATCGTTTTGCCTTTAAAATTTTTAACTGGGCCGAAGGATGGAAGCTTCCGTTCCTGAAGTGTAGATTCTCGGACCCCCATCAGTTCAATATGTCGGTAATTTTATCCTAAAATGGAATACACTCGTCCTCGTGGGTCGTTTCTGCGAAACACCTTTTAAAAGTTCAGCAAAGTGCGCAGCCGTCTCTGAAGGCTCCAGGCGGGGATTCCAGGCAAAGCGGGCTTGTCCAGACTTTATCCTGAAGTCTGGATGGATTTCCAGGGACCACTGTCATGTAACTTAGACTATCCCAATTGCAGCTGGCAGGACAAGAATTTGCGATTCACTGGCATTCAAATATTTGGCGGTCAGTATATCTGGATCCGAAACGCACATCTTCCCGACCTGGGACCGAGGTCTGACTGGCTGATAAGTTGGGTAAACAAGCCAAAATCATTGACTTCGGCGTCCGCAGTCTTCGTCGATATCAGGTGGGAAAGGAAAAGTCGGAACCGTATGTTATCCATTCGGAAATTATGTACTCCTAAGAACGAAGAATGCCGGCCTTTTGAAATGATTGACCGCTAAAACCACCCCTTTCGACCAGTTGATCTTAATAGCCGACTGTCATGTCACAGCGGCACTTCCCTCGTTAACTCCCTTTATTCACGTCCTACACCATTCCAACTAGTGTGGGTATGGTTTCTGGAAAAACCCTTGACGGACAGAAAGATATAAAGGCAAAAATTCACGTCTCGGGGAATTCGGGAACCGAGAAGCAGACTTAAATCATCTCAACTCGCCCAAACATCCATCAGAACATTCGTAAGCAAGAAGGGCCAGCAGCCGCAACGAGAATTCTGTAAAACCCCTGCATCTGGTTCTCGTCCGCATGCCAAGTCACATAGAGTGCCTTTGAGATGACACACGCCGACCGCTGATTGGTTGAAAGAGCCTGTAAATACGGCCTATTTGTTGTTACCTCCTTCGGTCAGATGTGGTTATGTAGCCCCACCTGAAGTAAATAAACCCCAGCCACCTGTAATACGGAACCAGTGGTAATAGGGCTTTTTACGGGTGAGGCCGGGGAACGCACATGTGACGAGGTTAAGTAGTAGTATGCAAAAGAAAAGCTATTGGGAATGCGCGATTCTAGTTTGAGTGGTTTAGAAATAGTTGCCAAAACTCCTAACCCTGACCCCTAACCCCTACCCATAACCCACTTACCCTAATCCCTCGCCCCAACCCCAACAGAACTGTGTCCATCAGGTGGGGCTACATAACCACATCTTACTGGCGAAGACACCACTAGAGTCTCGGCTATCTACACAGAACAGCCACTCCAAAAGATAGAGTGTCCTTGTTCAAGCTAGTTTGGCTGTGCACTTTCTGTGAATGAAATAGCGCAGATATGAACGACACCTACGTTGTATCAAGCTGATTCCTGGTCGAGCAGAGTTCTCCTCCTTCCTGTTCTGCTTGTTATAAAGTTATCGAAAGTAGCATAAACGTTCCAGATCGCCAGAGTGACTAGGGTCAGGCTGTCGACAGTGGAGTAAAAGTTGACGGGTGCTGCTTTGATTTATTCTGATTCGATCGTGCGTCTTACATCCTACAATCACAGTCAACTATGTAGGCGGCATAATAATTAATATTTTTAAACGTTCCAGATCGCCAGATTTATTAGGGTCAGGCTGTCGGCAGTGGAGTAAATGGGGACGGGTGCTGCTTTTATTGCTTCCGATTCGACCGTACGTTTTTCATCCTAAAAACAGTCAGTTATGTAGGCGGCATAATAACTAGTATTTAAGGCACCTTTCTCGTACTTTGCCCGGTTAGATGGCAAACAGTATCACTAACTTCATCATCCAGGGGTCTTTGAGGAATTCCTTTAGTTTGTGAGTGAAAAAACTCCTAAGGAGGACGAAGAACTTGATTTTCAAGACCGCTGTCGGATAAGAAGTTAAGAACCGTTGTCCTAAACGCTTTACATTAAGCTGATTTGCCTCTAAAAAGGGCACGCGGTAGACGCACTAAATGACCCCTGACCCCTAACCTTAGCCCCTAACCCAACCCCAACAGAATTGTGTCCATCGGGAGGGGGGGGGGGTACATAACCACATCTTACTCCTCCTTCATCTCCAGCAGGCTGCCGCGGGAGCCCGAAAGTTCAGTCAACTAAAACCTCCGTGCTGGCTATCCGAACCCATTTCTCGCCCTCTGTAGAACATGAGCGCATTTGACCCATCCCCCAGAACAGTCAGACAAGTCGAGACATGTTCATCTAAAAGGCCAACACTGAGCAGGACCATTTACAGATTCCAGTCGTTATGTAGGCTGGACGCCGAGTCTACCCTGGAGAGGCCAGTCTTCGCTGACTGAACGCCAGACAAGGGAGCACCCAAAGGCACGGTTTTTATATATCCACTTTAGACGGAGTGACCCTGGGGAAAAAACATATAATACTGAATGGGGACAAACGGCTGCTCCAAGACAGAAGGCCACCCCCACTTAGGCTCAAACAGACAAGCCTGATTATGACAACGATAAAGCCCTGACAGGTCACGCACACTAAATTTGCATGAGATCGTGATCTGATTTAGAGCAGAGGCTACATGTCTGACCTCTCAGTTCACTGTACAAATATCCAGGGGAAATCATCACCATGTTGGGGTCATACTGTCGGATTATCAAGGCAATAACAGACTAGGTGTGAAAGTACCCGACGGAGTCCCGACAACACTTTCGGCGACAACTTCAAGAAGGGTCATTATTCAAAACCATCAAGTGATTTGTGCTGGCAGATCAGGGGTATATGTTTTCATATTGACCCAACTGCGAAAAACACGGCGCCTCGGTGGGATTCGAACCCACGCAGTAAAAGGAAGGCTTTAGTATAACCAACGCTCTACCCACGTGAGATACGAGGCCCCGCCGGACGCCGCGAGTTTAATCACATTTGGGTCAAGTTACCCGCCCAACCTTCTGCAACGTCTGGAATCCACCAAATCTGATACAGTAAGTTGACTGCCCAAGCAGGATTTCCTAAGTAGTTCACCTAGAATCCACCAGATGACTACTAGGCTCACGTAATTCATAGATATTTTTCCGTCGGGGCCTCGTAGCTCAAGTGGTTAGGGCGTTGGCTGTACGAAAGCCTTCCCCTTACTGTGTGGGTTCGAATCCCACCGAGACGCCGAGTTTTCCACAGTTGGGTCAACATGAGTTATTCAAAATCTGCAAAAATATCTATGAAGCATATGTTTTAGTAATTTTTCATTACGGAAGCCCGGATTAGAACAGACTTCTGCTTGCGAAGATTTGGGCATAAAGCGGGGTTCACAAATTAGCCCGTCTTCCGACTACCCAGTGTGTTCACGAGTACAGGAACGCTCCTCCCCCACCCCCAGCAGGAGATTAACTTCGAAACTAATCAGGCTCCCGAGTTTTACAAAATGATTTTTGGCCAGCCGCGACGGTGTTAACAGGGCGCGTAAAGCCAAATGACTGTACTGTGACCCGGCGACCGTAAACCGCCATTGTAGAAACTCGCTTCTACCTGCTGCCTTTTGGTTAAGTTCTTGAGACAAGGCGTTAGGAGAGACAGTCTCGAACGAACAATCCTAGTACCCTGTTGGGGTCTCATCTGAACTCAAAAATCCCCGAAAAGCCTCATGAGATAAGTATGAATCGTGTGTTACGACCCCTGCTGCAGCATCCGCATGAACTGACACATTCTGCCACTCCGGTCCACTGGTGAAGGCGAACAATGTACGATTTGGACTACTCAGCTGGGAACAGAAACCTGGTATTGGATGCTGGGGGGTGCCAACATTCTTCGGCCACGGTCAGCAGAGTCTGACGATGCGCAGTGCCCACCAGTACAACGTTAATGACTGCCTAAAGTCTACACAATGGCATTTTTTGTCCATCAACGCAACAGAAAAACGTCCTACAAGAACCAACTGAAGGACTCTCTCGCCCTGGTCTCCGGATTATTACAGGAGGCAGGGATGACCGGACCTGGTCACGGTATTCTTAAAACAATCAGTCCAGTGGCTGCTTTATACTTGGTTTTCGACAAGAGAAGGAATGTCAGGCCTCCCTGATCGGAACGGGCACTCATCATCATCATCATCATCATCATCATCATCATCATCATCATCATCATCATCATCATCATCATCATCATCATCATCATCATCATCATCATCATCATCATCATCACCACCACCATCATCATCATCATCATCATCACCACCACCATCATCATCACCACCACCACCACCACCACCATCATCATCATCATCATCGTCGTCGTCATCATCATCATCATCATCATCATCAGCAGCAGCAGCAGCAACAGTAGAAGGCGCCTCCATCATCACCGCAAAGGCCATTGAGTAGACATTCAAGCAACAGTCTAACAGCCAGGCAGCTCGACTACGTCTGAATCGGTCCAAGGTTTCGTAACTATATTCGCGATAGCAGATCAATGGGCGGTGCCAAAGTTAGCAGTGCCTCAACGTCCACTTTTAATGCGCGAAGACAATGTCTCGTGTAAGACACCTTGGCGTTGTAAAATCAGAGCTAGCAGGCACAGCCGTGACTCAAAGCGCAGAAATCCGATGTCGCGCTGAAACCGAAGTTGAAGCCAATGGCAAATGATCATCATTTAAGGTATCAGCTTGCCATGGGGCTGGGAAAATTCTCAGACCCACCCAGCGACAGCGCAAAAACTGCAGCTTTACGCTCAAGCAGTTTAAGTCGATTCCTCAGTGGAGACTGCTTTCGCTGGCTTTGGAAAAGGACGGTAACGTGGATTATGGGTAAACGTAAAACTGTTGGACCGACATGACAACCTCCATGGAGTTAGGTCTGGAAATAGGGTAGAGGACTCTCACCGATCACGTTACGAGACTCGCTCGTTCCGTTGTTCCCGGGGATTAGATCTACAGCCTCGGAGGCAGCCGCACAGTGGCTAGTGATATAGGCAGCGTGACCACCGGCGACGAAAACAAGTGCGACTGGAATGGCTATTTCTGACTTATTAGCCGTCACCAGTCAGCCATACCTAATCCAAGGCACAGTGAGACTATTAAGTTGCACACAAACCGGAGGCAACCATCAGCTGTCAGGTAATGAAACCGCAAGACCCGATGCCACGGCAAGAAACGTCTGGAGTCGTTTACCGGATACGGTGCAGTTGCGGACAAAGCAGCTACGTCGGAGAAACTGGAAGACAGGTCCGAACGCGAATGACCGAACACGCTGCAGCGGTGCGGAGAAATGACGTCAGCCCTCAAGTTTCAGCTCGTTCGACGAGATCCGGCCACACATTCAAATTCGACGGGGCCAAAATTCTCGAAAGCGATGACAACAGCGTGAGCCGGGAGCTGCTCGAGTCATGGTTTACTGGTCCCCAGTCCATCAGTAAGTGCAATGACTTTCCCCTTCCATACTCAGTGCTGAGACTTCGCCTAGGCGGAGTAATTAGCCACGCGGGAAGCGCACAGGTGAACACTTTTTCCAACGCCAGGGTCGGTGGATCAGATGGTCGAGCAATCATCACATCAACATCCAGCGTACGTGATGAAATTGCAACAATTAACGACGGGAATGTCGGTCATAAAACAGTCAGTACACCAAATGCAACGATCCCTGACGAAATGCAAGAGCTTTCACGGTCTGTGTTTTGCCGAACTTGCTGCAAAGTTCTTCAATACTGTAATTTTCAGGCGGTTTCAGAATGCGGATGACGCTAGTACGAGACCCAACAAGGTCGGGTTCCGAAGCGGAGGCAGGTGCACAGATCAGATATACACGCCATGACTACCGCCAACTGACGGCTGTCTGACCTGTTGATTTCGCGGCAGCCTTCATGTTGAGTCCCTGTGGCGGGTGATGGAGTTAGGCGGTATGCCGGCAAAAATCTGCGCTGCGATCAAGGCCCTCTATCACTCCAGGACGGCGGGGGTTCTGCTCCACAGACAACTCTTCCAGTCCTCTTATATTCGATCCTCTAATTTTCCACAACCTTGCATTCGGTCGCCCAAGACCTTAATTTAATTTTCGGAAGGGCTCACCGTGGATTTGACGGTATCAAATTGACACTGGGACGTCGGCTGAATGATTCAGACTTTGCTGACGACATTGCCTTGATAACATCAACTTTGACAAAGTACAGAATACATTGTCTCAAATGAAGGTCACTAAACCAGTCGACTTGTCGACAAATGTGTTGTGTTTGCGAGGGGAATTTCTGACCAGGAAGAGGAGTCTGATAACTTGTAGAAGTGGACAACTTCAGATACCTGAGGACAAGTCTGTTGCCGAATGGATAGAGTAATGACGACACTACCTTTCTAATTGATGTTGTTTGCTGGTTAGTTAACTCTCTGAGAGAGTACATGAACCTGGGACGGCATCTTCCTGCAGCCGGCTTCAGTTCTGTCAGTTCTCAGCTACAATTGTTAAAATTGGATTGTGCGTGGAAAAAAGGTCCTCACAGACCTCCGGGTTGATATGCAGTCGCCTAAGAGAGTTCTGTAGAGTGTCATTGTAGCGTTGTTTTTGTCCTGCCTGTCTGTGAGCATCCCACCAACAGTGGACTGACCGGCACGGACAGTTGACTCGTGCATGAAAAGAGGGCCGACACCGGGGTGTCCATCCTCACGGCAGGTTAGCACATCCATCATTATAACAAATCCGCCAAGCTTGGAGATACCACAGCACGCTAAGAGTCGTGACTTCGTGCACTGCCGACTGACTTGATAGAACAGTTTCCATGGAGTTATTCTGGAGTACTCACCCTCAGAATGCTTCTGCCTCTAGAATGCACAATCATAGAGAAGTTGCGACGAGAAGGACGGGACTGGGAAAACCATTTTCCGTCAAAACAAGTCCCACCCAGGCCGGAATGACCTGCCTTTCGGACACGGACCGACTGGCCATCATCATCATCATCATTATCCAGAGTCACGGGTTCACACTCTGCCGGCATTCACTGACCTGGGCTGCCTGCAGAACGAACTACAGACGCTCCGCTTGACCCTGAAATTTCGCCCTAAAACTTGATAGGCTGAAAACACCTGGAGTGTGGGCCTCACTTTGGAGCTGAAATGTGAAAGGCACATTTAATGCTCCACACGAGCCCGGTCACCTCCACAACAGCAACAGCTGAACCCACACGAGAGCGTCTTTTGATACTTCGATCACAGTCGACGGGGCACAGGACGGTGACTCAGTGGCAGGGCGCTTGCCCCATGCGCTCAATAGACAAAGAGTCCCGTGTCCTCAGGGCCTGGGGTGAGTGATAACGACAAACAAACCAGAAACTGGCATTTTAACCTTCCCAATCATTGGCGCCAGCGATGCGAGCAAATAGTATGCGGGCTGGACTACCCAACCGGGAACGAATGCCTGGTATTGGGTGCTGGGGTGTGTGTGAACGTTTCTGGACCCCAGTACCCAAAGCCTGAAGACGCGCAGTCCTCATCAGTACAACTTGAATGTCCACTGTCTGCCTAAAGCCGGAATCCCCGACTGAGGCACAAGGGAAATAAGGATCCTGAGAGTCGAACTCCCACTTCGCCCCTTACCATAGCGGACCATGGGACTCTTCTGGTAGACACGGTATGGCGATCGCCCTCTCGCAACAAGAGAACTGTGTACTACTTTCATGAGAAACAGTCAGTGACCGGCTGGCTTGGGTGTGACTGAGGGGTCAATTTACAAACATCCCTGTCGTCTCCGTGTACGCACCAACATCGGCTGCTGACCAGCGCGATAAAGAAACTTTGTGCTCGAACCTGCAAGAGTGGGCTGGAAGACTTCCCGCCGTGATCTTTTGATCGCTGCCGTGGACTTGGGTGGCCGAATTGGATCCGGCGACTCTTTAAGGTTTCCATGAGCTTAGCTCGCGATGCTACAATGATGAGGGAATTCTGAGCTTTGCTGACCAGAAACAACCGTCACCAACACGTGCTGCCAGTATTGCCACAAGTATCTGATGACCCCGTATTTCAACGACAGCCATACGTCCAGCCAGATCGGCTATATTACAGCTATTTGAAGGTTCTGCAACTGGGTTCAGAAGAGCAGGTCCACGTGTGGTGTCGAAACTGGCAACAGCGGTATGATGTGGTTATGTAGCCGCATCTGATGGACATAATACTGTTGACCTACTTAATTATATTGGTTGGCATGGTATTGCTGTGCGTTGCGGTGTGTTTTGTTGCGGCCGTTTCTTTATTACCGTGTCCACTTTTTGCCTCAATGACGGTGGTCCTTCTTGACTTTCGGCCTGTCATCTCCTTCTAACTTTCACGCTGGATGTTCCAGTGTTAGGGTTTAGGGGGTTAAGGCGGCTTTTTCTCAGCCACTCAAAGCACAACCGCGCATTCCCAGTAGCCTTTCTTTTGCATACAATTACTTGACCTCGTCGCCTGTGCGTTCCCCGGTCCCACCTGTAAAAACCACCATTATCACCTGTCCCGTATTACATGTGGCTGGGGTTTGCTTACCTCATGCGCGGCTACATAACCACATCTGACCGCAACGCCTACTGGTCGGACCACGCGCATACGCTTGAAAGTCAACCCTCTCATCTGCAGCCAAGATAACACGAGCAAGACGCCTTGGTGTTGCAAAACTTAGACAACCGGACGCCGCCGAGACCCTGAACACAGAAATCCGGCCTTGTTTTATGACCACATCCAACGGAGAAGGCAGCGGCCAATGATCACCATTCTGTGGAGCGGCTAAGAAAATTCTTTGATCCATACACCGTCGCCATAGTGACTGATTCAACTCAAGAACCCTGCAATTGTCGGTCCCGACGGCTCGAGTCAGGCCCCCGCAACGGGGATCCCGCCTGGCAAATCCACCGTCGCCATAGTGACTGATCCATCTCAAGAACCTTGGCGACTCAATCAAGATCGATCGTTTGCGTGGACAACTTTAGCATCTCAAAACCAACCCACCGTCCCCTCTGCAACGGAGTTTTGCTCCTTTCCTGCCTATGTATTGTAATACGCCCTGGATCCATGGAGTGATTGAGGAAGCGTAGGGAGAAGAGGTTGTTCCGGATGACTTGAGGCTCGGGCATCCTTGTGCCAATCTTCCAGAAGGGCGACAAGACAAAATGCCAGAATCACTGCGACATAAGTTCATCTACCCCGCTGCGAGGGCCCTTCACCGAGGTCCTCCCCTGGCTACTCTGGGATGTGAGCGACTGTAGGATTAGGCCCAACGAAGCCGAGTTCCGAGCTGAGCATGGATCCATAAACCGAATATTCACACTGCAGAGCATTATCAAATTACGCCATGGCAACCAGAAACTGCCGGCTGCCTGATTTGTTGACTTCGCCGTTGTGTTTGATTCCGTCCATCGTGAGTC